ATATATATACAATTTGGAAAGAATGTGAAGTAGAATTTATATTTAAAAGAATCAAAAAGTTAATAATAATATAATATGAATAAAATAAGAACATAATATCTTTAAAAAAAATCTAATATTTTCATATAACTTGACATTTATCATATTCATACATTTTCTCCAATCTCTCGAATAAAGTCTTGTCCTTACCACACATCCAAAAAAAAAAAAAATTGAACCATTAATAAGCTAAAAAGAAAATAATACATAAATTTCAAATAGATAAAATTACAAAATTCTTTCAAAAAAACAATTATCATATCTTCTATAAAAAAATTCGTAAAAAAATAATAAGACTAATAAGGAAAATAGTTTATGCAACAATAGATATATATTTTGGACTAGAATGAAAAAAGATATATAAAATAAAAACATAATATTATATTTAGATACAATATGAAATAGGAAACAAAAAAGAAAAAAAATTGGAACTCACCATATTAATAAAATGAAATTGAAGTGATAAAGAGGAGAATATAATATATTGGTGTAGAGAAAAATAAGGATTTAGATATAGGTGAGTAGGAAGATAGAAAAGTATTGTACATAAATAAGAAGAAAACCAAAAGGTTAGAAAAAATTGTAACTACAGAAATACTTATTATGCCATGTATTACAATTTTATGCATTTATTTTTCATAAATTTTAAGCATCTATTCATCTTCTTTCATTTTAACGCATTATATTACATTATATTATGTATATAATAAAAACTAATAATAATAAAATAACTAAGAATATAAAGATAAGAAGTAGAAGATAAAATTTGAAATAATAAAAAGATTGAATTCATATTATTAAGTAGATTTATTTACATAATTTATTCTTTAATAATTAAAATTAAATGATAAATTTTAGGGTTAATTAATTTATTCTTCAGTTACTACTAAAAAATTAATTAGTATATAATTATATGATAAATTATATAATAAATAACAAATAAAAATATATTTTATAATATTTTTATATATTATATATGTATATATAAATACATATCCTATTTAATGTATAACGTAGCATTTTATATATATATATAGATAACTAAATAAATTTATAATTGCCATATTATTAATTTTTTATTGTTTTATTTATATTAAGTAGTAAAATAATTATAACAATAGTTATAACTTATAATTTTATTGTTGAAGATAAACATGAAACCCAACATAAATAATAATTT